TGTCAGACTTATTCATTTGAAGTTATATGAAAAATAATATTGACAAATAATACTTAGGGCAGTGTTCTTTGTTTCGATTTTGCTTGGCTTACCAGAGTACCAAAAAAGCTCAAAATCATCAAGCAGGTGCTTATTTTAGAATCCATCCAATGGAGGAGAAATAGTTGTGATGCCTTATAGTCTAACTATCCCACATAAAGGTCATATCAAATCATGTTTGAATTTGGACAGAGAACTGTCAATAAATGTTCAAGTTTGTGGTATGCAAAACTCTAGAACTCTTGGTTCAGAGATGATACCTTTTATTAGACCAACTAAGAAATCACAAAAAAAATGATCTTTTTCTGCAAGCTTTTGGTCGCACATGTTATAATACAAGTATTCATACCAAAAAATTCAAAGTTCAGAATAATTATAGATTCATCGATATTAGGGTCAGAAGGGACCTCAACAGATCATTGAGTCTGACCCTCTGCCTAGGCAGGAAAGAGTGCTGGGGTCAGATGACCCCAGTCAGATGCCTAGCCAGCCTTTTCTTAAAGACCCCCAAGGTGGGGGGAAGCACCACTTCCCTTGGAAGCCCATTCCAAATTTTGGCTACCCTTACCGTGAAGAAAAAAATATCTCAGCATTTACTTTTAAAATGAGTTATTTCCATGAACGTTCTTACCAGCATCAGAAATTTCAGGGAAAAAGCAGAAAAGAGATGTTATTATCACACCTTGCATATATGTTTTGTATCCCTCTACCAGATGATCCGTAGAGATAATAAAAGCCTACTAAGATGCATACAGTTGCTTCTTTAAGACTCATGTTTTTGTGCTGAACATAGAGATTCCGTTTGGAAGTTCTGTTGAGGTTATTCATTTTATTGGATATGTGAGAGTTAGTGACTTGTAAAACATTGAAGTAATAATGGCATATGATAAGTCATTGCTCCTGATGTGGATTAGTCATCCTTTTGGCAGCCAGTTGCTGGCTGCTTGGCTAACAGGAAGTTAACCCTGCCCCCAGACAGCCTTAAAAAAAGCAGAGCAGGCAGTGTCAAGCTGTCCTGACAACCATCTTCCTGCTAAACTTCCAGACTGCCCTGATCACAGCATCTTACTTCAACTGGTTTATGTTTTGCACTTCTAGTATCCATGTTTTGTTTGGCTTCCTCCTGACCATAACTCTGAAGTGCTGACCTTGGCATGATCTGTGGCTTCTGACCTTAGTTTGTCTCATGTCATCTTCATTCTGTCTCATTGACCTTGGCTTGTTCCTGACCACCACCCTGACTTCTTGACTGTGGCCTATTCCTGATCAGGTCCTCTGTATCTAGGCTCCAGCTTGATCACTGGTTCAAGACCTTGGCTATGACCCTGTCTTAATTCTTAGATTTGGCCTCGGGTTCCAGACCTTGGGTCTAAGCCTACAGACTGCCCACAGCTCAGTAATAGCAGAGGCTTAACTGAGGTCCTTGGAGCAGGAATAGGTGAATAAAGGAACTTTGGAAAGGTCCAGAATCCAAGACTTTGCTCAAGGATATATCATAAAAACCTCCTTAAGGCCACCACTTTCCAGAAAAACTCTGGGAAAAAAGTTAACTCTGCAGGATATCTTAGTTGTGCTCTGGACTGTAGGAGTATAAGAAGGAAAATGTGTTCTGGAGCCAAATTCCATTCACTAAGAAGATATTACCAGCAGCTCTCTTTCATTTAAACCACAAAGGCTGTAGGTTAAGCATGTTGGCTGTTGACAAGTGTCATGGAATTTTTTTATGTGCTCATTACGGCTATGTTTCTTAGACAGCATTCTTTTACCATGAACAACTCTTAGGTGACCAGGTCTTGGGCAGTTTGGTGTAAGAACTGGCTCTCAGAAGGACAGATGAGGGTCGGAGAGCTAACTACCAGATCCAGAGGTAGAGAAGAGAATCTTTAATACAAACCAGGGTCAGAATCCAGAAGGTTGGAAGCTGGGAGTGGGAGGTGAGGAGGAGGGAGGAAGGCAGGGGTAGAACCCACAGGTTGAAGTCCAAACATTAACTAAGCCAGGGGTCAAGAACCAAAACACAGATCTGTAGGGGAAATCCAAAGTCAAAGTCCAATAAAAAGCCAAAAACCAGGGTCAGGAACCAGGAAAACCAGAGCTCAAGCCAGGAGGCTTGTCAAAGCAGACTGCATCCGAACTCTTGATTGGCCTAGAAACCCATAGCCCCAGCTGGTACTAATGGATAGGTGGCACTCCTAGCAGCTAATCAGGAAGCTTGCTGTTTCTAAACTGGGGCAGAGCTTGGCAGCTGAGAGCTTACCGAAGGTATAGCTGCTGAGGTACTTGGCCCAGGACCCAGAGTGATGGTTTGTCAGCTGGCTCCCCTGCCTCATAATTAATTTCCAATTAATTTTGTTTTGTTTGATTTAATATCCTTTCCTTCTTAACTCACTGGTCTAGATTTCTTTTACTATGATGATTACAGTTCAACATTTGCAACATTCTTCATTTTTCTGGTGTTGCCATGATAAGAAAGAAGTGCTCTGAAAGTGTTGAAGAAATGCCATTTCAGTCAAGCCCCTACCTCTGAGGGAATGCTTGTGAACAAAAATTTAGTTTTTGTTCTTAATTTCTAAACAGATTTTGAAAATCTGTTTTGAATTATTTCCTTTGAAGGGAATGTGAATCTTCATGCTAAGACAATAAAAGAAAAAAAAAATCTCACCCCTTCCCAAATGAATTAGAGATGGCAGTCTTGCGTGTCTGGAGCTGACTTACAGCACTTGATGTTAAAATGTAGCCCTTTGTAGAAGTTGTAATAAATTACAGCCATTGTCGGAGGCTACAAACCTGTCAAACCTACAGCAAAAATAAATAAATAAATAAATAAAAATGGTCACCCTTTAAATTTTGTGCTCTAAGAAGAATTTTAGTCTTTGGCAAGTTGACAGTAAAAATAGACAAAAGCAGTATTTTAGGATGTTGTGCCAAAGATCATGTGTGAAAGCCTGTGAGTGTCTTGTATTCAGCTGTAAGTTATAGCTGCTTAGTCTTGAGAACTGAGGAGTGGCATATTTCTTGAAGCCTTTGGGACATGCAAGTTATACATTTCTCTTTTTTTGAATGACATTGTGGTCAAATTTTGCAGCTAGTAACACATTTGTCCATTTTCAGTTCTTTTACATAGAATATAAAGTTGAGGTTAATTAAAGAACTGTCACTCTCAGAATGGAGGAAAGAAAGATCAACTGAGACAAGTGAACAACAACGACTGAAATTGGTACCTTGAGACAGGTGATAATTTGGTATAGCTAATTATCACTTTTTTCCACATGAAATAATGTTAGAAACATAATAAATTGTTTTTATTTTGATAAGTAAAGTGTTTTAAAATGTGGAATAATCAGTAGTGAATTTGTCAGAAAATCTTCCTCCCTCTAAAAAAAGAAAGAGAGGTAACTGGTTTAGTGGATTTTTTTGTCATGTTTTGTTGTTTCTCCTGCCCTGACCTTGTTGCTGGTACCCTGAGACAACCAACGGACCAGGTCTCTTGATAGTGATGATCAGGGTCTGAATTTACTGAAATAAACGGTTGAGCTGAAACCATCTAAGCAACTCGGCATTGAACTTGTGGCCTAGGTACAGACATTCAGAAAGCCCAAGGCAGAATCGATTTAAGTTGCACGGTATTCTTAGTGGTATAGTTTAGATCAGTAGCAAACAGGACACACGTTTGCCTTTTGGTAGTGGTGGGGTGCAAATCTTAGGCTGGATTCTGCCATTTTTAAACCAGTCTATGTGTGCCGAACGTCTGCTCTGTTACTGGGTATAGATTGGCTTTGTTTGTCAAACTTCTGTTCTGTAACTGGTATAGACTGGTTTCTGATGATTTAAATTGGTAAAAGTGTAATGTCTGTACCTGGCCATAAAGTTTTAAATATATTTAAGAAATGCCAAGTGGTGCAACTGTTAGATATCATAATCCCAACTAGCTGGTATTACCTCACTTCTTGATTGGCCCTCATTCCATGGTAGATTGCCCCTAGTATCCTTTTGGCTGTTGATCTATTTATTGCTGTTGATGATAGCTTTTTTTTAAAATGGCCTATTCACATAAGTAAATTTAAGAGCCTAAATGCAGGATCAGGACCTCAGATATAAAAGATTTATTTATAAAAAATTTTATTTTAACCACACATTCACCCTTTGAGTTCTTACTTTTATGAATATCTGTGGAACTTTATAAATCCCAGGCCCATTTCTTATTTTTCTCTCCTTAAGTCTCCATGAGGCCTGGCTAGAAATAATTTTGTGTGATTGATTAGTTTAGAGTTTCATGTCCTGGAGTGGTGCTATTTCAGAACACTGTCTTGAGTTATAGGTTACTATAAGTAAATACTTATTCCCATTCCATATGAACAAAACTGTTCCCAGAATTTGCTATTGGCAGCAAAGTATTTCATTTTTGAGGCTTTGACTTAGGCTTAGTTAAGCTTTTGTTCTCTCACTGGAAGAAAATTCACTTGCACACAAGTGGTAATTCATTGAATTAATACTTATCACAACTAGCTTAAGCTTTGTGCATTTCTTCTATCCCAGGGTTGGTTCTAAATTTACTTCTAAAAGTATCTATAATAGATGTCATTCAGTAAAGGAAAAAAAAGTAAGAATTGATCCACTGCTTAAGTTGCTTAAGTCATGATTTTCTTAGGTCAGGTAAACTCTCCCTTGCACATATCTCCCTCCTACCACATTTTCCTGATATCTTACATGGATTCTTACATAGATATACATTTTCTATTTTTTTTTGTAGTGGCTTGTAAACCCTGCTTGGTATCCTAACAATTTTTCCTTAATTTATATTAATATCTGTTTTTGTTCTGTTTTTGACCTTGCCTATTTTTATTAATATCTACTCTGACATGCCACAAATCATACAAACCTAACTGAATCACATTCTTTGCATAACGTTTCTCCTTTTCACTTTTTTGGTTATAACATGCTTCTGTTTTGTTCATTTTCAGGCTCCTAAGCATATAAGAATGTATGCCCCTAGGTCACAGATTTTGGACCAGAAAGTCATGATTTCAACTCTCAGGTCATGTTTTGGGCTCATAGCTAATCTGGACGTTGTAGCACTAGGTAAGTAATGTTACAAGGTGGATACATTTTCATGTTACCTGTTATCCCAGTTTTCAAAAGCACTTAGGAATGACTTTTAATAGGACTTTGGGGCATTTTTACATGTGCTCTGGGACATGGGGCTGGGTGCTTTAATTAGTGAGCTGTGTATCAGCATCACCGTGCATCCTTATGTTGAAAAAATGGTGGTGGGGCACTTTGAACTAAAACTCATTGAAAGTGTTTTATTTCAAACCACCCTACTGCCATTTTTTCAGCGTGGGCACGCCAATACACATGATGTGAAAAGCTGCTGGAGCATGTCAGTTTCCATGCTCCAACAGACTCGATTAATCGAGACTGCTCTGATGTGCTGGATTTCCAGTGCATTGGAGCAGGCTCCATGCATGTCTATAGGAGTCCTAGGCTCCTAAGCGTCTAAATCATGATTGAAAATGGGACCTTGGCTCCTAAGTCATTGGAAACTCTTAAAAATTTTATCTGCTGCTAGTTGGATGCAAAATTATCTGGTAACTGTCCAGGTATAACTTTTTTTAATAAGAGTAACCTGGTACTGTTAATTCCACTATTACAATAAAGCTTCTGGTTTCTTCTCTTCTATATTCAATCTGGGTTTCAATCTTTAAATTTTTTCTTTACAAATTTTAGTATGGCCATTGTTACTTTCCATGAGACACCTATGACAAAGAAAGAATGGCAAGTAAAGGAAAAATGTTGTCAGAAATTCTCTTCCTAGATGTCCAGACAGATTTCTGTCTCTGCTTGTAGATGCTGGGTCTATAGCCCACAGCTATAGAAGCTGAGTTGAGCCACTCTGCAAAGAGCACACAAAGTATAACAAGGTTGCAGTGCATTTCCTGTGTGTCATCATGCAGCCTTTTGTATAGGAGTTGACTTTTCAAAGTGTAAAATGAAAGTTAAAGATGTAAAATTTGGATACATTTAAAATGAAGTCCAACATGACTGTAGCAATTGAGTTTATTGAATTAGCTGTCACAGAGAGAGAGAGGGGGAGAGAGAGAGAGAGAGAAGCAGTATTGGCATTGACTACATTACACAGACTCAGTGTTTCATAACTTATGTATGCCTTATCTGTGCCTGTGCTCTACAATTAATAATAATGTGTATTAATCAGGGGGTTTATAATCTACCTATTCCTTTCTCTTGCTTACCTTCTACTCCTCCTTACCTCTTTCTGATGAAAACAAGAAGAGTTAAATTTCCGGGGGATGTATGGGAAAGGGACTGTGATATGTAAGAACATAAAATACCTTTGCAGCATTCTAATTCCTGTTCCAAATGTCATCTCTCTAATGTATCACATTTGGAACAATTTTTTCTCTTGTGGTCCCCTTCAGGAAGGATTTCGAATTAAACAGTAGCATTTCCAGCAATAAATGAAATTAGCTGAAGAATTGCCACCATTTTTTAGCCAACAAATCAAGGATTGAGAGGCTAAATCCAATACTTTTTGGCTCAATTTTTTTTTGATAATTGGAAATTTCTATCAGATACCTAACGGTGTCTCCCTAATTTCTTTCTGGTGGTGATGGTAGGCGCTCTCAGAGGTAGTTAGCTACTCAACACTTTTCCAATTTATATTTAGAAATATTCACCTTGCTAGATATGGCTACTAAAATTATGCTATTTAAAGATATTTGAAAAATAAATGAGGTGTATAGTTACTAGTTAATTTCAACTTGTTTTTCTGCTATTTCTGTTGACCCCCACATATCATTCAAATTTACTATAGCTAAGTTATGCACATAGACTGAATGTTGTCTTGTTTTTCTTGCATACCTAACATGTAAATTTAGGTGGAGTTCTTATTCATAAGTGCCCTTTTCACAGATTAGCCATTTCTCTGGCTGAAAAGACATCTAACCTGAACTCTAACCTCTAAAAACTTTCACAGTCCCACTTCTCCCTTAAATGGAAAACAACCTCATTAATTCCTCACATAAACATCCAGAACACTACTTTAACAGGCTCATAATTTATAAACCTTACACTATTTTTCTCTGAGAAATATGTGACAGCAGAAACATTTTGGGCTATCACAGCAGAAAAATCAAACATTATTCTTTCACATAAATCGTTGACACTATATGAGCCATATTTTCACAATAGGTGGGCTCATAAAAATGAACCTGCACCTGGTATGACCAATTATGATTTATGGTAGAGTACTTGTAATCTGCAGTAAATGGTGTGGTGGGTTAATGACCTAGCAGTTTTCCTTTGTCAATCTTGAGTCTTTCAAATCCATTAGGTCAAAAGTGGAAATGATTTTGCCAACTCATTCTGCTTCCAGTGGTCAGATGCTCATAAGAAAACACCACCACAACAGGTACCTAATTAGCACCTATGCTGGATATATAAGTGAAGAAGCCTAGGACTGAATGAAAATGGAAACTGTATAATGCTTGCGTCAAACTCCAGTAGTGAGCCTTCCAGATCAAGTTAAGGCTCATTGTATGGGGAAGCTGGCAATACTACTGTGGTACTGCTACACAAACGCTGATGCACAAAAGCTGCTTCCTTCCACATAGGTAGAAATCATGACAACTCCTTCTCCCTTATTCTCCTTCTTGACTCCAGGACAGTTTTCATGCATTAGGATCTCTTTCTGAGCTGATGGTAAGGAAATACTTGTGCCCAGTTTTCAAAACATTAGGTGTGCAGTAGTACATAGACAGTTTGCCTTGTCATCTGTCTGTCTTGTTATCGCACATATATCATATTATTTGTTTCCTGAATGTTATTCTGAAAGGAAAAAATCTCTATCACTCCTTTTCTAAATGTGACAGTTTAGATAGATACAACTGGAAAAAAATGTTCCCAAGAGTATTCATGTTCTTAGTTTGAAGCCTTTCCCCTGCTTATTTCCTGTCTTAACTTTTGCTAGGATTTTTCCATGTGAGAGAGATTAATAATTAATCATAAATAATGAATAAATAAGCCGTTGCACTGTGTATCCAACAGCACGCCTGACTTTCTCCAAATCAGGTGCTGAATATATAAAGACTGTTTTTTTTTTAAGTGCACTCCATTTTAACTTTCATGATGTTTGTTATATAAGGAATAACTGTCGGTAGTGTCATTTTAAATACTCTCTTTTTGTATTTGGCTTATGCTAATGGCAATGCTGCAGAACTTTAGCTTTTTTTCCTTTAATAGTTATTCCTGATTTCCTGCTGTGGATATATATTGAACATAAGAAATTAGCTGCAGAGAGAATTAGAGGGTGTAAGTGTGATTGTCTGAGTCACGTAAATGCCAAAAGCTTTTTGTGACATTTTTGAGACTTTAAAAATGGAAATATGTTATTTGCACACTGGCTCCTGATGGAATATGACACAGTGCAGACATGCTGTGAGTTTAAGATTGGGCTCTAGGCCATTAGTGGCTATGTACACGGGGGGCCTTGGGCTTCATGGAGGCAATGCAATGAGCCACATTCTGTATGGACCTCCTTTGTTGATGAGCTAAAGAATCTTTATCAAATCAATGAAAGCTAATGAGAATTGTGGACTCGCTATCCAGATTTCAACTTTAAAGAATATAATTCAAGCTTGATGTAACTTTTGTCTTTTTTCCAGATGGTCTTACACTTTCACTGTAATCACTTTTGAAATATTAACAGGTTCCAGTACATTCAGTTTTAAATGCATAACTTCCAACTAAATTATATGTGAAATTTATTTAAGGTGGTACTGTCATTTTAAGTTTACAGTGTATAATTACAGCATGTTTCAGATCTCTGATGCATGAGTAGTCTGTCTATGTTTTTAATTTGGCCTCAAAATGTGGTGCATGTGTACATGCTTGTATTTTAATGTATTATTTTAGCAGGCAAATGAGAGCAGAGCAGACTCAATCTATGCAATGTTACATGGTGTTACAGTTTGAATGTGCTGTGAGAAGTTGCATATTAAGGGTTAATATCATTTCTTGCCTAAGCAGCTCTGACTTGCTACTAGAGGGCTGGTGAGCAGAGGTGTATTTAGGAGCTCTACTTCTGTTCTGGATCCCACCCAGAAAGGGCTGGGGGTGGTGCATCCTGATGCTGGAGGACTGGCAATTGCTAGTTTTATCCCCATTGAGCAGACTAAATTTACCCTAACATAAGCTGGTTCAGAGTTAACCCTCACCTGAAGTGGCATAATTTTGAGATGCTCAGAGGGCACTTAGTGTGACTTAATGAGCATTAACATCCAGACACTTGTGTTTTAAGTGCCCTTAGTATGGTCTCAATGTAATATGCAATTTCACCCTGAGAGAGTACATGTGGAATATAATCACTGTGTCTGCGCTGCTGCCTCCTTCAGATCTTTCCTAAACAGACATCAAGAATGCCTTGTAGAAAACCCATGAAGGCAGGGTTAGGAGACTTTTGGGCCTGGAGAACCTACTCCCTATGAATTCATGAGGAAAAATAATTTGATTCCCAATGTCTTAGGTGGTAGGGACTGAGAACACAGTGAAGCGCTGCCCTCCTGCGGTTGCTGGGGAAGCCCTTAAATTCTATTGCTGTGGGACATCCAAAGTGCTTTTGCCGGCCCCTCTTCCTCTCCAGGGCCATTCTTAGCAGGTATCTGGTTGGTGAACAGTGGGCGCATCTACCCAAGATGCTACATTGCTGTAGCGATGAGTTACAGTGACATAGCTCATTGCTAAGGTGGGCACGAACTGGGATGCCGATGCTACTGTGCGGTAGCTTGTTGCCACTGCATAGGAGGGTCAGAAATGATCTGTGCGCTGCTGGGACTGCACAGTAATGGCAGGTACTGGACAGTCATATACCAAGCAAAGTGCTAAAGCAAGTACTGAATGACTGTGCAGTAACAACTGCACAGTCAGGGGCATGTGCAGATGTGCCCAGTGATACTATAATCTAATTTCCCAATTCACTTTCCTAAGATATAGAGTGGAACAATTGGTCTCCTTACAATTCCCAAAGAATTTAAAAGAAAAAATGTATGTAGCTCATTGAGGAATGCATACATGTGATGATGTTCCCTTTCTGGTGCATGCAATCAGCAAGTGCACATAAGAAAAACTTTTGAATATGGCTTACCATTGGGATATGAATGCAAGCGGTGACTAGAGAATTACAGGCCTGATTTTGGAAACAAATTTCCTTCTGAAATCTCCAAGGCACTGTTAGTAACAGAAGTGAAGTGAAGTTGTTTCTAAAAAGGTGAGGCAATAGAGAGGCACTGATTTATACCACATCAGGCTCTCACCCCTGATTTTCAAAGGATGGTATTGCATCTAAGGAAACTATAACTCTCCCTCTGAACTTAGAAAATGGAGAACTAAATATGTTTTGAGATGCTGAGATGTTGTGTTGTACATCTCTGGACCCCAACCTGCTACCATCTTTACTCCTTTTCTCACAAAATCATTTTTTTTTCTTTCTGGAAGAAAGGAACACCTGCCTTTGGCTTCCTTCTAGGAACTGCTTTTATTTACTGAGGCACCTCCAGGCACCTAAATCCCTCTAGTTCAATGAAAAATCATCTTACACTATCATTGATGAAAACTACTACTCTACTATGGTAAACTACTATTGTCCTATGTTCTTTGATACCTAGAATGGTATGCTTTTGGTAAAAAGTGTGAGTTTGGAAAAAAAGCATGAGTTTATACATGGCACTGGAATTATTGGCTCCTGTGACACAATAATAAAGGTACAGGAAATGAGTCACCTTTTCTATAGGACAATTATAGAAGAAAATTCAGCATCCATTTAGGCAGAATGGGCTTTCTGGTTTCACCTCTTCAGCAGGCTGCTGGACCATTCTAATCTCCCAGAATGAAACATAGAAGGTAAATGGAGTCATGATCTGTTAGTTTAGTAGGGATGTATTGTGGGGAAGAGAATTCTTCAGGAAGTAAGGTGGGTAGAGAGTTTAGTTATGCATGAGGTGGGTAGGGAGTTCAGACTTCAAAACTTCAGATATTTTTGCATTTTTACCAGACCTTTTGTGGTCCTTCTATTACTAGATCCTGTATCATTTTAGCTATGACTGTGCCACTTACTTGAATTCTATTATAGCACTTCACTATAATTCTAATTATCACTCATCTCAGTAGCTGGTAGCTTTTCTATTATTAACTAATCATCTATTGGCCCTGTGGGGGTCCCATAGCTTCCAGGCTTTTTAGTGAGGTTGAATTAGATTATCTACCCTTATTAAAACTTAGGTTTCACCCAAAGTAAGAATGTGAAAATGACCTCCCAGTGTTAATATATGTAAAATATATCATTACACATGTTTATGTTTCCTGAATCACATTGCAAATTGCAGCTTTCCAATTTGGGCTAATGAATAAAAGAACCTTGTTTTACAGATGAGCTAAACATCTTATGAAGTATTTATATTGCATAGTATGTAAAGCAGTTAACATAATTATTTTGAAATCTGACAATGTCTTAGCAGCAGTAATATCTCTCTGTTCTACCACTCTGGAAAGGTAAAAGGATAGGGCAGGGTGACATCTTGGAGACTGACTGGTTCAGAGGGTATTGAGTTTTTGTGGGCCATAACCTACTCTCCTATAATAAAGTACTTTGTCAGAAGTTACCTCTGAAAGCTTATGCCTCTTCGAACCAGTTAGAAGGTAGGGCAGGTAACACCTTACCTTCTGCTTGACTTCAGATTACCATGGCTAACCACCTCTCTCCTCTGGGTGGTAATGAAATTTAGAACATATTTTTGTATTAATAAGGAGGTTGAATCACAAGAAATGCTTTTTTTTTTTAACTCTAAATTATTCCTTTTCCAGATATTATTCTGTTAGATGTTTCTCTTATAATTTACATGTAAAAGGTCATAATTCTGGCCTCAGTTTCATGAATGAGCTCCTTTTGAGTTCATGAATCTAATCAATATGTATCTCTATGTAGTCCCAAAATACATTGTCCCAGGAGTGCCTCCCAAATAGTGTACACATATCTAAGGTACCTTGGGAACTAGTAACAGTATAGCTGAAGCAGCATGGAGCTGAGCACAGACTGCAAAATGCACCTAAGGAGGCTGGATAGCCTTACTTGAGCTCTGACTATACTGGTACTGGCAGCTGTTTAAAGCTATGTCAGATGTGTCAACATTATATGGCAGCCACAACAGTGCCTATATTGCAGACATACCTAATACCTATCTAATATAACTGTTATGTAATATCTATTTAAGAAGCCTTTAAGAGACGTGAGAGGATGGCACGCATTATTTTTGCGTAATGGACCATGGGTGTGGACAGCAAAAAAAAAATCATACAACTTTTAAAAAAGGAGGGAGGGACTTATTGTGGTTCAGATGAATCCTTGGAAACTCTTTCATCTGCCTGCTCTATCCTGAGGCAAGTGGAAGATAAACTACAATAATTTACCACTTGTTTCATTAAGGGGTAAATTATTGCTGTTTTGCTTTACTTACTGTGAGAAAGGAGCACAAGAGATCAGCTGATGAGCTGTCATGAACACTAAATCTCTTTCCCTTTTAAAACAGTATAATTGTTCATCTGTTCATGTGTTGTAAAACACTGTATAAAATACAATAAAGTTTATAAGGTGTATTTAATGCAACAGATTATTTGATTAACAGGACGTTTATCTAGGGCTCAATCCAAATCCTACAGAAATGGAACAAATTCCAGGAATCTCAATAAATTTGTATGGGGCATTTTATGTGTATCCTTAAAATCAAAAGTTAGCACCTACTGGTGGCTAAGGATATAGTCTTCTGTATTTTACATAACACGTTCCAGAGAAGGATCTCAACCTAAGTGCAAGGCCATTTTAATTATGACTATGACCTTATCTTCAATGAATGACATAGAGGAATATGAAAAGCTATAAAAGAAAATGTATGGACATGGGACATAAATTTACACAGAGTTTATTTTAATGTTGCTTCACTTGATTTTCTCTGAATCAACTAAATGCTATTAACACTAGTAGATTTTGTGTTCTCTTCTTTACTTCTCTGAGTTTTTCCTGTAGATTGTAGCCTTCCCTTTCTTTTATGAAGTTCTCTGTGGCTGTCTCAAGGCAGTAAAGATACAGTATTCTTGCAGATTATTTTTCACTCTGGAGAGATGTGGAGAATGCAGCAGTGAGTGAGGATTTGAGTGCCTTTTACAAAAATTATCAGAACATGGCAGTCTATATTCTCCTAATGATTAGATAACAATGTCAATCATAGAATAAAGTGAACAGGCTAAGTGCTGTGATGGACAGTTCTACATAGATGGGATAGCACAAGTGAAATAGTAACCTATTCTTCCTCCAGGCAAATTCTGAGTGCAGTCTGTTACACACAGATAATCAGAGCTAAATGCCCATATTTCTCATTAAGCCAGAAAAAGACTTTGTTTTGTTATGCCAGAGCTCTGGGTTTGCATTTGCCTGAAAAATATGCCTACTTGAGTTTCACTTCCAAGAGAGAATTAGAGTCCCATGAATTTATCCAACTCAATTCAGTATAGGTGTGGCAGACCTTGCTTTTTTTCAAATGAATATTTGAAAGTGAAAGATCAATTTTGCCTCTGACAGTCAGAATCTCTTCACACTTATCCAGCAAACTGCTATCCAGTTTATTCCTGATACAGTGTTCCCATACATCTTCCTTGCTTGGATTCCTATAGAATTTTGGGGAAATTATATTAATGGTGGTA